CTTTGCCACCTCGTCAAACGCATTTCTTTCCTTGCGAAGCTTGTTCGTCTCACGCTTCAGAATGTCGAAAGCGTCTTTGATGTGTTTATTTACTTCGTCTAAGGCTTCATCGTCGGGTAATTCTTTCTTTGGGATACGCTTCGAAGACATCTTAATTCAAGCGGGTTATACAAAAGGACAGGAATCGAAATCAAACTTTTTTCCGAGAAGTCCGAGATAATTCGTCTAATCTGAGAATTTCCGTGCTGCTTTGATCCTCGGTATGTTGACTTCTCGGAAATTTATGGGTGAATCAATTTAATCATGCATAAATGTCAAGTCGTCACGCCATGCATGAAAATTAATTAGATATTGGAAAACGTTAATCATCAATAACTGTGATTCTATATTTACACCATTTAGCTAAACACCACTGACTTTGCAAGAAACCCGCTATTAGAATGAAATCGCTAAATTCAACCAAATGCAAAGAGGAGAAAATAACATTTAAAATTAATGCCTGACGAGGAGATGAATGAAAATAATATAGAACTTTACAAAAGATAGAAAGGATGTATGGTTTTGATAGTTCTCTGATTTTCCTGGATCGACAAAAGTAAGTATCCGCAGAAAAAAATTTCTTAAAATAATAAGCCACAAAACTTACTCAAAGGGTGGATAACGCTATCTTCTGGATAAATTTCTATCTGTTGGATAATGCAGCATTTCTTTTTTAACTCTTATCCGCTGGATAGCGATTTATCCTTTAGATAGAATTTTTCGCCCTCCGGCCTTCGAATGGCCGGGGCTTTGATTATAGAGTATGCATCGGTCCAAGGTGCGATTTCTTAGCCTCTCTTTCTCGGTGTAGAGAACTTGTTATGCTTGAAATTCGAATTTTCCACTCCAGCAGGTGACTGAGGATTACATATAACACTACTTCTCATCTCATTACAGAACCAAGACGACTGAAGCAACGCTTAATTTTACGGGGAAAAGAAATTTAGATAGAAATGACGGTTCCTTTTTTTTTTTTTTTTTCTTTTTTTTTTTTAATATGACCTCGCATAAGTACAAAACACGACCTTCCTTTAAGCTCTAAAGAGTATTGACCTAAGATAGTTTTAAAAAATTTGGCAACCCCATAAATTTTAATGAGAAGCCAGTTAAAAAACCTTACTCACCCTCCCCCCTCCCCAATACAACCGTGATGAAACAAACTGCCCCTGCCTGCCCCCACGGTTCCTGTCGAAACACCTTAAGTGACTCTTACCCTTTATTAGTACATTTGCGAGCAGTCTTCTTTGCAAATGTTTTTTCCATCCAGTATGTATTTCCTAGAGATCTCGAGACAGAATCAGCACACTCTAGCAAGTTTCACAGAAGTTTATTTTTAGAATTCTGCCCTCAAGTCTCGGTAACAACTGAACCCTATTCTAAAATGACAAACCGATCGACCATTTTATCAATGTAATTATAAGAAAAACATGAAAAAGACACAATTTTCTGGAAAGCAGTACCGATCGCCCCAATTGCAGAATTATATCGAAACATTTTCACTGCTTCTCAAAGCCAAAAACTTCCATTTCACTAATGGTGAAATTCTGGTTCCCTTGAAGAAATGTGGCAGCATTCTGACCGGTAGGACACTGGTACGAGTTATTCAGGCTGACACTGCAGTTGTTAGAATTTGGAGCACTGACAATACGAAGGTCATGGCCACTTCCAAATGTGGGCCCATACCCATTGTGACAGTGGATTGCATTCCCCTCTTTTCCAGTTATCAGTGGTAGCTTTGAAGGGGGTAAACTGTTTGGGTTGACAAGGCTGAACAGGAAAGACTCAGGAGCTTTTTTGTAATTGGCTCCTCCAGCTGAACAACAACAACAGCAAAAGTCTCGGATTATAAAACGTTCTCTACATTGACCAGATGATTTACCTATCCAAAACGGTCCGAGAGGCTCTTAGAGAAGAGTGAGTAAAAGTTCCTTTATATGAGTATAAAACTCTTCTTATGCATTGGCATTTTCGGAGGGATTTTTTCTAACAGTCTTACATTTTCTCAGCACAGTCACGATGTAGTCACGTGTGATGTAGATCGCGACGTTTCGACTGCATACTGCTTCTTCAGGCGATGAGGTCGACTGGTCATGCGTGATCTTATGAGCATGATGCTCTGCTGTGATTAGTTGTTTTTCAACAGCTCTGATTGGAAAATGGAAAAAGGATTGAAATGCACCAATCAGGGCTGTTAAAAAACAACTAATCTCAGCAGAGCATCAGGCTTATAAGATCACGCATGATTGGTCGACCTCATCGCCTGAAGAAGACTAAAAGTATGCTGTTGAAACGTCGCGATCTACATCACAGTGACTACATCGTGAGAATAACGAAAAAACTTAGCTTTTAGAATGCTTTTTGTATTATTCAACCATCAACCGAACAAGTTGGTGTAAACGAAAAAGAAATCGGTCGTAACAAGCTAAACGGCAAAGTCAGCGCGGCATTTAAGTTAATGTCAACAATCACCTTTAAAACCC